TGGTGACAAATCCTGATGGGAGAAAACACAAACAGTTACCACGGCACCAACAGTGAGCCCAGATGGCTCCTTCAAGGACTCACAATAAAAATCAACTTGCTATCCTTATGACGAAGTGTCTAATAATAATAAAAATAGCCGCAGCACTTTAGATGCATGCATTACTTTACAGTTTAGAAATACTTTTTAAGAATTTGTCTCATTTGAGGGTCACAAATGACGTGGAAGATGACTGTTTAAGCGCCAGCTGGGTTTATGCAATCTAACAGATACTGTGAAAGGCTGTCAGGTGACAGTTCACATGTCATAGATATAAACTCAAGTTTCAGTCGAATTCTTGAGCAAAGTCCCATGGTTGATTAGTGGTAAGGTGTATGCTTTGTAGTCCTACAACATGTACTCTTTTTAGCATTTTACATGGTTTCTGTCATAAGTAGGAAGCCAGTATTTTATTCTTGGAGTACAAAATAAAAAAAAAAATTAACTCCAGCCTCTAATCCTCTCTAAACAGAGTTTTGTATGGTCAGGTATCAAGATTATCTGTTATCTTCAGAAGACAGAGTCCTTTAGTGCAATTTTCTAGTTTTTGTTTAAACGATCCGCTATGACTTGTCTATACATTGGGAACATGAACTTAAACGCTGTTTCTCCTCATAACAGAGGTGCCGAGGATACAAAACGGATGGCCCAATGGACAGATGTATTATCTGGTGCTCATGACCAGGGTGATTTATCCTGGTGCTGAGAGAAATGCGGATGATGTAATGGCTGAAGCCTCAGCGAGAGAAATATTTCACTTGTGACCCCCAGTAAATCCTGATTGAAGTCATGGTTCTGAGAAGACAAGTCTAGAGGGATCAGCATAATAGAGTCCAGGCATATAGTTTCCTGATGAGCTCACTGTACATGGGGGAAGCTTGGAATATCCTGAGGATTGAAAGTTCATACATCCTTTATTAGACGATCCCTCAGCTCTATCAATTTTCTCACTGGACCACTGATGACAAACGCATGGCCAACACTCTAATAGTGAGGTCATTTTTCTAAAGTGCAGGTGCTCTTCATTGGGGCTAGAAGAGTATCCATGTGCTTCAAGTCTTAGAGGTCGAGAATGATTTATATGTATCTATTTAAGAACCAGATTTCTATTTTCCACTATTTCTAGATTATTGGATATATATAGTTTATACCTAATGGCCCTTATAGCCCTGACATGAAGCATTGTGTATAGCTTCCAGCGATGATTCTGGCCATATTAGGGTGGTCTTGAATTCATTAACGAAAGATGACATCACATGTTGGTGGGTGGTCAGCTACTCAAGGATTTTACCCTCCGTTAGTCTGTTTCTGAGGAACTCAAGAAGATAAACATCACAATTTATTTTAAAGTGAATTAAAACATTTTTTTCTTAGAAACTGTTTAGCACTAAATATGACTGCAGATCTAATAAGGAACAAGGTTCATAATCTCTTGGGGTTACTTTTAGTTAGATTTTGTGTTAAGAAATCAGGGATGTTGCGTCCAGAAACATTTGGTTCTCAGAGTAGAGCAAACCATATCAAACCACTGAAAGGTGATTTTTTTTTAATCATTACTGCTGGCATGCCCCATTTCTACACTTTTAAACAGGTCAGATATACTTAATACAGAAAGCAAAGTAAGATGAGCAATAAATGTAGATTTATTAATGGTATGTATTTCATAGCTAAAGCTGGGTTCTAGTTGAAGCCTTGCCACTTACATGTAAAGAAAGCTTTCATGGGGCTGGAGAGATGGCCAAGAGGTTAAGAGGACTGACTGCTTTTCTAGAGGACCCAAGTTGAATTTCCCGCACATACATGGTGGCTCACAACCATCTGAAACTCCAGTTCGAGGGGATCCAATACCCTTCTCATAGCAACAGAATTAAACCAGAACAACATGTTAAAATATATATGTAAACAATGATCACATGGCAGATAGCCCTAAGGGTGCAGGAATGACATACACACCTTGGCAGTAACCAACAGGTATCTAGTCGGACTTACGGCTCACTCAGCAAGAGGGAAATCATGCCTGGGACTGGAAACCTAGCCAACCACCCAGCGCTAGTGAAGTCAGGAATCTGAGAGGAGAACCTACAACCACTGCTTTTACTAAGCCATCACAACCCCTAACTACACTCTGAATATTTGTCTTTATTCCCACGAGTAAGTGTAGTTTTTACCCCTCATCAAGGAAACTGAACTGTGTAACAAATGGACACTGTTAGAGAAAACCACAACTAATTAAAATACACAGTCGTGGAGCCCGGGGCCAATGTAATATCTGCAATATGACAATTCCACCTAAGGATCAGGGAACACTGAAGAAGGGGAGGGGAAGATTGTAAGAGCCAGAAGACCAGGGAATTTGCTGTGAGACTGCATCTTCTAAGAGTGCCAGAAGTTAGAGCGGCGAAGTCTCACCAACATGACTCCCTAAGCAGGAGCTCAACAAGGATGACACCAACGGCCACACTAACAATGACGTGGGACAGTTCCCAAGCCTCATGACTACATGAAGAACTACAGGCTACTAAGGAATGCTGAGACTGGGGGGGAAGAGTCTTCCCTAGGGAAGAGTACACTAATTGGTGATCCAAACCAATGTTTTGAAAACATACATACAAGTAGCATGCAGACTGAGCATATCGTATTTAGGCACATATATGTATATACATATACATGTACATATACGCATGTAATGACAATTAATGAGAAAAAAGATCATGAATTTTAAAGAGAGCGAGGAAGGAGGTATATGTGAGGATTGGGAGAAGAAGAGAAGGAAGGGAAAATGGCGTAATTATATTACAATCTCAAAAAATAAAAGAAAACGTTAAAAAAAAACTTGTATAAGAACACCCCTGTCTCAACACATGGATCTTGCCATGCACGAACAGGCTTCTGAACAGTCCTCTTTTAAGTAACAATGGAACTCAGACCCATTTCACGTCAGCACGTTTAGACCCAGCTTCTCTTGGTTACACTATTCTGCTGAATATGCATGTGATAGCACTTAATACTGCTGAACATGTATGATATATGATGAAACAATTCTACATGGAATATTAGGAGTGTCTGCTGAGCTCTGTAAATAATGCTGCCCTGATCATCTTTGTATGCCCATGTTTACCTTCTCAGATCGTCGGCTCTTTAAAGTGGGATGCCTACGTCAAAGTATGTGGGTGCCTGAATTTTAAATAGATTCTCCAGATAGAGAAAAGATCTCTGAATCCCAAAGATCCCAACTTCTCTGAATCCCAGGGTCTTGTCAAATTCAAGTTGAAACAGGACCCAGCTCAAGGGCTGTCATGAGGATTAGTTAACATAACCACTCACAGTGTTGCTACGGGAAACAACTTTAAACGTAAGACGATTTACATTCAAATTCCAGACTCATAGCAATAACATCCCAAGTGTTACAAAGTGTGTGCTTGTGTGTAAAATAATTGGTTGCATCTGAAACTCAAGTGAGGGTAGAACGGGGAAGTGGGAGGTGTAGAATTTAGAAACGAAACTTAACATAGTCCTAGCTTCTCCCGAAAACAGACACCTTCCACAGAGACTGCGGAGCATCTCAGAACCATCGCAGTTGTCATAAGCTATGCAAGGTTTCTCTACTCCAGCATGCTGTCTGTCCAGTAGACAGTCCCCTGAGCAAGGGGGAAGTCCCCAGGAGAAATAAACAGCAATACTCTGTACCTTAGAGAGAAAGACAAGTGAGGTTCACAAACCTTCCTCCGTTCTCAGAGTCACCGGGCTAGAGACTACGGCCGAGCATGGCACTGAAAAAAAAAAAAAAGTGTTCTAATTTTGGCTAGAGACAAAAAAACAAATGCTACAGCTGAGAAATTTCCAGAACAACATGTACTTGGATCCATATTAAAGAACAATCCTTTGAGCTCTTGAGCCAAATGACCCAGCAGGGTTGACAGTGGGAGGCGCATTTCACGGTTGGATAAATATTTAAATCTATTCTCCAGTCTCTAAAGCAGGTCTGTTGGGCCAGTTCTGAAAAGCTGCCCAGCAGAATTCACCTGGCTTTCTAGGGACACCTCTCCTGTCCCAACAGTCTTTGCTTCTAGGAAGGGATTTCTAAGGAGCAGCAGGAGGACTATTGATTGGAAAGCCAAGCAGCTTTGCATTTCAAGAAGTTTGTTTTGGAAGGCAGGAGCAATGGCGCAGTATCCAGCCGCAGGTGGTCGGTTTCTTCCAAGCCTGACTGGCTTTGGGCAGCCCTGACTCACTTGTCCCCCAAGGCTTGATCCAATAAACACACTTGCTGGTCCTCCTAAACCCTTTGTAAACTTGAAGAGTAGGCTCGGGACTCCATGGCCTACACAAGCTTCAAAGAGAGTTTGCAGCTTGTTGACCCCTGTTCTGAGCCGCTAGTCTTAGGCTGGTAGAATGCCACCAAAGCCACCTTCGGCAGCAGCACTGTGGCTACTGGATTCGGTCTTTCAGGCATTCTTTTGCCACCTGTCTTTCTTGTCCTCTATATAACTTTCCTCTTATTTGCATTTTACCTATTGCCCTAGACTGTTCTCTTTTGCGCTATTGTCTCATTCATTTTTGTCTCGCGTTAAGTGACTTCTGGGATAATGGAAGTGCTGTTGGCTGTTTTTGTACTTGCTAGCTGAGAACTTGAAAGGAATGCAAGTAGTTGGATTTTCCGAGAGACCACGGAGGTGGCATCGAGCTGGCCTCATGGCTGGGTTTCACAGACCCTCAGCCAAGAGTTAGGCATTTTGAGCTTTGTCTAGGTACGTCACTACTTTGCCGGATATCCACAGACAGATTATTTAACCTCTGTGACACCCACATTGCTCATTGGTTGTGAATGCATCCCTGGAATTTCCCATTTTAGAAAAGGCTCCTCTGGTTCTCCTGCTCCATTACAGCATATGGATATAACCTTTGGTAATACTTTTTAGTCTGCTCCATTGCTGAACAAAATATTTCTGTTCTTTTCTCAGGTTGCAGAATGAAAAATGGATGAACGTTAAAGTTGGAGACATCATTAAATTAGAAAATAACCAATTTGTTGCTGTGAGTATTCACTATTGTGTGACTCCATCTCAGATCAGCACAACACACACGGAAGTATTTGCATTTGCAAATTTAGTAAATCTGTAATAATCTAGAGTCACCAAGAAAGGTAGCATTATGCATTATAAATTCTCAATTATAAATATTTTAAAAGACACTGCTTTCAGTGACAAGGTAACTTGGATAATGCGGAGAATGCCATAGAGTAATGCGAATTCTCTCCCTGTTTGTTGCCTTAAGGAAACATACAAATACAGAGCAATTTAAATCAATATGTAAATTATTTATGTAAATAAGAGTTTTAAAAATGCTCCTAAGTACCCTAAATGGTTTGTTTTCATACACTTTGAATGCTATTTCTTAATACTGCAATTAGTGTTCTTAAATGACAACATTTTAGAAGACACTAAAGATAAAATTCATGTTAGGATTCTGAACTGATAAAAGGTGAGTTAGTGAGGATTTTGCACATCAAATTCATCATAATTTATATTTGCAAGCAATCACTTTTTGCAATTTCTTAAGTAAAAGTTTATTCACTAAAATGTAGACAAAAAATTACAGTTAAAGTCAAATTTATAGTGATAAAATGGTACAGGTCAGAAACTAAAAATTAAAATTATCATAGTATAAAATAATATATTAAAATATACTTTAGATCACTTATGAAAAATTTTGAGTTGTGTGCAATTTTTCTGAATCAAGCTATATTGTTAAGGTTGTGATATTTTATGATGGAAAAATATGGCCCTAAAATCTCTTTAAAAGAACAACAACCCGGTTGAGAGTGCTGGACACGCCCTCTCAGAATCAGCTTCCCACCATTGCACCTGTCTGTGCCTGCAAAGTGCAGAGGAGCATGCGCAAACCCTGCAGAGTGCCCAGGATCATGCGCAAAGACTGCACAGAGTGCAGAGGAGCATGCGCAGAGTAGTTTCCGGTGGATTAGCCATTTGTGGACGAGTTCATACTTCAGGTGGCTTTTTACCTGGCAACCTTAAGGTTTTGGAAAATAGCTGGGAACCCAAACAAAAATAAGCAAGAGGTTGTCAGGGCAGCCAAAACAGAGGTCATAAAGTCTCTGCTCTGTGGCTTGGACCCCCTCAACAATGGGATAGTCTCCCAGGTTCTCATTCATAATTGATTTACTTTGATTTCATGTGACTTAAATGACATGTCTGGCTTATTTTCCACTCAATAAAGATTGGGAATATAGCAGGAGGAGTTGACACCTGCTAGAAGAGCATCCTCTGTAGTGGGGTTGAGGTAGAAGATTAAAGGAACTGGCTTGGAGTCAAGTCTCTATTTACCGTTGCAGTGCCTCCCTTGAAATGGGCCCCGGGAGGCAAACGTAAGAATGTATTTTGAATTCAATTGTTCTGTATTCAAATGCCTACATATGATTCGTGGTTTCCACGTTGGGCACAGCAGATGTTAGGGAGAGAATGCTTAAGATCCTCTTATTTCCCTGATGGAGGGATGGCACCAAACCCACACTCTCAATACCTTCTTGCATCCCTTCATCTCTGCCTCTGGCAAAGTACAAACAAGAATCTTTGGTCCACAGTCCCAAAGCCCAGACTCTAACTGTGTTATCAGCAAGAAAGATAACATCTTTTAAAACTCTCTATTCTTCTCTGCTTGACTCTTTGGTTAAAAGAGAAGGAGACAACTGGAGTAGACCCTAAATTGGTCTTTTCTAGAGATCTGTGAATATCACCCCCCAGACAAGCACACCCCCTTTCCTGCAGGCCCTAACTCCAGGCAGCAGGGAGGAACACCAGTTGTCTCTGGTGATGATAGTGCTTTGTCTACAAAAGCTTTGCTTGCTTCCCAAACTACTCATAGGTGTGGAATAGCTACACACGGGCAAACCTTGAGTGAGATGACTTGGTTCAGAGGCGCTGAGTTATTTGGGGAATTTGGGCGATGTTCTCCTTCTCGGGATTTTTGCTGAGTGTCCTGGAGAGACTGACTGCCTTGGGACACTGCCAATCCCGTCCCTCCACTACTCTCGTTAATGGTAACTGAGAACACCTCTAAGGGAGTTGTTAGGAGTGGGGCAGGGAAGAGGGAGCGGGCAAGGAGAGGAAGGCCGGAGACAGCACAGGCACTGGCAACAATAGAAGGTACAGGAAGAGGCAGGAAGGTTGGTATCCAGGAGACAGAGTAGGAACAGTGAGACAGGGAGGCTTAAGGGTAGGTTAAGTGTGTCTCAGTCTCTGGGAAGAAGGGTGACAGCTGGTTGAGGAACTTGGCCACCAGGTGGCGGTGGCACCTTGGTCGCATGTTCTGAGAGCCGACCCTTGTTTACCAGAAAAGCGTTCCTGAATATTGCAGCATTTTCTATACAGAGTTTTGAAGCAAAGTAGCACCAGGTACCAAAGGCATCTTTATTTGTGCATTGTAAATACCTGATTACAATTAGGGCATTTTAGATTTATTTAAAATTGTTCTTTTATCCCTAAGGTGGAGAGTCACAGCCTCAAAGAGTGTTTGCTGTCCTGTCTTCTGCTGGAATATATTGAAACTTAGATAAGTCACTCAGGGTCAAGATGAATCTGCCCCTCAGCCCAGATATTTCCTTTCTGGGGTCAGGATTAGGTAAACTTTGGTCCAAAAGTGGCTCACAGTTGGCCACAGTCTCTGTGTAAGTTTCTGTGAGACACACTGAGGGGTTCCTAAAGCAGTTTCTGCCTTGACTGGCTTCTGTGGCAATTCCTCCAGTGCTGGGGAGGAATCACCGTGATGCAAAGGCTTTCGTTCCTCAAGGTCACAGAGCCTTCATTTAGACAAAGCTACACTCATTTTCCCCACCCTAATGTTAATTGATAATTTAAATAACCTAGACAATTAAATGAATAGATTGATTTTGAACTTAACACCTAAGACTTGGAGATAAAGGAATTACAATGCTTTTCAAAATAAAAAAAGATTTTTCGAGACTGAGCTGTTAATCATTCAGACATAGGTAGAAAAGCAATAGGCTAAAGTTTCGTAACAAGCTGCTGAAACTTAAGTTAGTCGGTTCTTTTTATAATTTTTATTTTTATATAATAATAAATAAAATAAATAAAAATATATAATTTTTACTTAAAATATAATTTTTCAGAATTATATTTATTTTAAAATAAAAATTCAAATTCGAGGAAGAAAGTTCCCCAGCTTGTCAGAATTCTAGTACTGAACGATGATGTCTTTTCTAAAGCAGAATGGACTGTGGAGATGCAAGCCGTGCGGCATCTGAGTGGTCCTGTCCACGGTTCCCAGGCCACTGTCTGTGCTCTCTGCACGGGCTCCACGTTTCCTCCTGTTTCCCGTGTTTTCCTGTTGTCCTCATCTCTCCTATTCGCTTCCATGCCGCTCTTGTTTGCTTTTCTTTCTTTTCTCTGCTGTTCCTTCTGTTTCATCTGCCTCTCCTCACCTCCGTTGCTCTTTCCCTGCTTCGAACGGTTCATATACCAACACATAAGGAGCGCTAATTAGCTTAGTTATTGAAAAGAGATTTCTGCTTCTCATTAGAAATGATTAAGTCCAGAAAATTAGAATTTACATATGACTTTCAAAAACATCAACGTAAATCACTAGTAATTTGCATGTCGCCTGGAGCCCTGCTCCTACCATGATGGTCCATGGGCATGACAGCAGGGGCCAAGGGGTGGGAGAGCCTGCCTCCCTCCTCACAGTTGCTCAGGCTCCCTGGCTGCCCAGGGGTGATGCAGGAGGGAGAGGTTTCAACAACCCTCATTTTTCTTTATTTTCTTCAATTTATTTTTTAATTTCATTTTACATTTTCTCCTCCATTCTGCCTCCCACCCCTCTTCCCGCCCCCTCTTGCCTTCCTCTCAGTTCACCTCCTATCCACTCCTCCCAATGGGTAAGGGCTCCCCTGGGAAGTCAACAAAGTCTGGCACATTAAGTTGGGGCAGAACCAAGCTCCTTCCCCCTGCATTAAGGCTGAGCATGGCATCTTACCATAGAGAACGGGCTCCAATAAGCTAGTTTATGCACCTGGGATAGATCTGGGTCCTACTGCCAGGTGCCTCACAGATAGTCCATGCTTCACCACTGCCTCCCACATCTGCAGGGTCTAGTTCAGTCCCATGGAGACTCTACAGCTGTCAGTCTAGAGTTCCTGAGTTCCCACGAATTTGGCTTAGCCGTCTCTGTAGATTTCTCCCTCATGATCTTGAGATCTTGACCTCCCTTGCTCATCTATTTCCTCCTCCCTTTCTTCCATTGGATTCCCGGAGCTTGGCCTGGTGTTTGAATGTGGATCTCTGCATCTGGTTCTGTCAGTTGCTGGATCAGTTGCTGGGTGAAGGCTCCATGATGATAATTGGGGTATTCACTAATCTGGCCTTACAGGGAAGGCCAGTTCAGGCACCCTCTCCACTATTGCTAGAAGTCTTAGCTGGGGTCATCCTTGTGGGTTCCTGGGAATTTCCTAGCACCAGGTTTCTCCCTAACCCAGGCTCTCTCTCTTTCATTACTCTCCCACTCTATCCCTCTCCCCCCTCAACCATCCTGTTCCCTCTCATCTCCCCTCCCTTCCCCTATACTGTCCCCCTCCTTTCTCCCAGTTTACCCAGGAGCTCTCATCTAATTCCCCCTCCCTGGGCCATCCATGTGTCTCTCTTAGGGTCTTCCTTATTACTATCGTCTCTGAAGCAGTGGATTGTAGTCTGGTTATCTTTTGCTTTAATCTAATATCCACTTAGGAGTGAGTACATACCGTGTTTGTATTTCTGGGTCCGGGTTACCTCACTCAGGATGTTTTTTTTTTTTTTCTAGTTCCATCCATTTGCATGAAAATTTCAAGATGCCATTGTTCTCCCCCCACCTCTGTGTAGTACTCCATTGTGTAAATATACCACATTTTCTTTATCCATTCTTCAGTTGAGGGGCATCTAGATTGTTTTCAGTTTCTGGCTATTATGAATAACGCTGCTATGAACATAGTTGAGCAAGTGTCCTTGTGGTATGAGTGTGCATCCTTTCAACAGCCCTGATTCTTAAGGTTCTCTCTGTCATGGTTTCTCAACCAGGCCGACTTGCTGCTCCTGTCAAGTAGTGAGCCACATGGGCTCTGCTATGTTGAAACAGCTGAGCTCGATGGGTGAGTACTAGATCAGAGCAGCCGCTTGGCTGCCGCGTAACCTGAGCGTCTTCAGAAGAAAGACAAATCTTATTCTTTATTTTCTTGTGAAACAGAAAAGTCTAAATTGTAAAGTCCCTTGTTAATTATTTACTTGGCAGTCATTTTGAAACAGTTTTTCTCTTGAATTTATTTGGGAAACACCGACCTTTCCCTTTAGCACAAACACTATGCTAAACATGCGAACATGAGTGAGCTTGCCCTTGGACTATTCAGCAAGGTTCCTTTTTGGGGTTTTGTTTGTTTTAATTTAATTTTCTAAGGAAGTGAGAGGGTGGGAATCAAGGTTCCTGAGAAGAAAGACTGAGATGGCTTTGAAAGGCCAGCGACACACGGAGAGAAGAGAGATGAATATAACGCAGTTTTGACGCTGGCTTCGAGAGTCCAGCTACAGAGCACTTAGCGGTCAGTTTCAGAGGTTTCCATTGTCCGGCTTACACCATTGGCTGCTCACTTTGTATAGGATAGGAACCATCTCTCGGTATGTGTGCGACTCAGGTGTTACGGAATCCTGATGGAGGTCTTGTATGAGACCTACTGCAGAACTTGAAGCCAAGGGCCAGACAGCCAGATAGCTTGCTCAAGCTGATAAAGAGTGGTCGTGGGACTCGACCAGACGGCAGGAGGCACACTGTGTTAGCCAGTGCCTGTCAGGTTGTTGCAATGTTGAGATACCAGAGCAGTTCAGCCTGGGTAACTGAAGCCATTCATGTACCAAGGGAGAATGAGCCTCCAATCAACTGTCCACTCCTTCTCAAGAATCTAGAAAACAGCAAAATAAACCCCAAGTCAAAAGTAACCCCCCACCCAAAAAAAAAAAACTCATACGAAACAGGACAAAATGAAACAACGGGACCGGATTGGTTCTCTGAAAATATCAGTTCATCCACAAACCTCAAGAAAGGCTGACAAAGAGCAAGGAAAGATGGGACAGCCTAGCAATATCATTAACAAGTGGAAAACGGACAAAGCCTCCTGAAAATGGCAACTGGACTATGAAGACATACTACAAACAGCTGTATACACGTCCATTTGACAACTTAAAGGAAGTGACCAGTCCTCAAAAGCACAGACTATGCACTCACTATGGAATGGAAAACTCGACTAGCCTTATAACTCATAAGGAAATTGAATTCAAATGTAAGGAATAAAACTATAAGAAATTTAGGCAAAAACGTAGGAGAAAGACTTTGAGATCTGGGCTAGTTCAAAGAATTATTTGATTCGATATAAGAAGAGTTACGGAGAGTGGAGACTTAGCTCAGTGCTAGAGCACTCCCCTAAGAAGCACAAGGCCCTGGGCTGGTTTCTTCAGGGGGTGAGTGGGTGGAGATAGAGAGCAACACACACACACACACACACACACACACACACACACACACACACACACACGAGAGAAAGAGAGAGAGAGAGAGAGAGAGAGAGAGAGAGAGAGAGAGAGAGAGAGAGAGAGAAAGAGAGAGGGAGAAGGGGGGCGTCTCCTGAATTACCTTGAATATATACAAATGCTTTAAGACTAAAAATGTAAGCAACATTAGTTAGAAAATAGGCAAATGGCATTGGTAGACACTTAGGCAAAGCGTCTACCCAAGCACACGAAAAGGTACTCAACATCTTTAGGGACGTAAAAGTTAATGCCACAATGCTGTTACACAGGTCCCATAGGAATGCCTAACGCCAGGACCGTGACAGCTCCACAGCTGGCAAGGGTTTGCAGAAGCACAATCCCTCTCCTGTTACTGGAGGGCGTGTAAACTGCGATGCTCATTTTGGAAAAATAATTTGTCAGTTTCTTAAAAGTGAAACATAAAATTACCGCATAACGCAGCAAGTTCAAACTGAACTTTTATTCAGAGGAATAAAGACTTACGTTTACATAAACTCTATAGTGAATACTTAGGGCACACCAGGAAGGAGACAACGTGGATCTCTTTCAAGTGAATGGCTGAGTAAACTGGGGTGCGGTGGTCTACTACTCAGTAACACAAATTAACAACTTATTAATAGATACAGTGACGGGGCTGATTCTTCAGAGAAAGTTGCCAAGCAAAACCAGCTAGTCCTAAAGGTCACATGGCTTCCTGGGAAACAGATCAGTGTTTGCTGAAGAGGGAGTGAGGGAAGAATTCCAGGGAAGCTGGTGTGTCACCTCCTTTCACACCAGACAGGAGTGATGGCCATATGGTCCCCGCTGGCCACTAGCAACAGAGTCTGCTGTCTGTCTACTAGATAGGCGGTCCTGTTGAGGAGAGCAGTTCGCTAGGATCTGCCCAGGGTGTTGGCCATGCCATCCAACACCCAAGAGTTTTCCCCATTAAAATTTCAGCTACTCTAGAAGTAGCCGTGACTGTCTTTTGCAAACAAAGCTCCACAGACAGCAGATACTGTTGGCCTCCCTTTGGCAACAGTATTCCTAGTTACAGTGTGTTTCATAGCTCATATAGGATATGTGAGTAGGTTCAGACGAGGCCGTTTTTCTTCTGTGTTCTTTTGAACACAAATGCAAAGCAAATCTCTGTGTTGTTACGCAGGTGTGCTATGGGTGGAAAGCCAGCTCCAGAATCCTAGACACACACCTGCTATGATGATGTGATGTGGGGTATGTGTATGTGTGTGAGTGACATTCAAAGCCAGGCTCTGTGGAACCTGTCATTTACATTTTGTGTGCTGGCCCCTACACAGTTGTTTTAGTAAGAAGTTGTTGGATTGTTCTGTGTAAAGGTGTATTATTTGTATTTTAATAAATAAATCTTGCCCAAAGAACAGAGACAAAACTAAAGTCACAGCCGGGCAATGGTGGTGCAAGCCTTTAATCCCAGCACTCGGGAGGCAGAGGCAGGCGGATCTCTGTGAGTTCGAGACCAGCCTGGTCTACAGAGCTAGTGCCAGCACAGGCTCCAAAGCCACAAAAACCAAAAAACAAACAAACAAACAAAAAAACTAAAGTCACTAGAGGTCAGGGAATGATGGCACATACCTTTAATTCCAGGATTTTGGAGATAGAGGCAGATCTATGATGATCTCTGTGAATTCAAGACTACCCCGGGCTACACAAGATCAATACAGAAACAAATGTAGGGTTTTGTGGCCTGCACCATTAATCCCAGTACTAGGGAGCCATGCCTTTAAACCCAGCACTAGAAGGAATATAAAACGGGAAGAGAGAGAAGCTTAGCTGCTTAGTCTGTGGTCACCTAGCCTTGGTAGAGGTAAGACTTCTCTGGTAGCTTGACTGCCTTGTTTTTCTGGTTTTCAGGTTGAACCCCAGTTTCTGTCCCTGGGTTTTTATTATTCGTGCTACAGTTAATGTCCAAAGATTCATGTCACGTCTTTTATTTAACAGGGAAACAAATCTAAAAGTCCGTCAAGCGCTGCCTGTCACCTCAGAACTGGGAGCAGATATTAGCAGCCTTGCAAAGTTTGATGGTAAGTGCTTTAAATGCACAAAATAGCTACAAGCCAGAAGGAAGTGAAGAACAAATTATCTGAGATTCCATTTTCATTTCTCTTTCTCCTCCTCCTCCTTCTCCTTCTTCCTTATTAGTGGGAGGACATAAATTCTGCGGTATGAATGGCTGTCACTCCATGCGCTCATGCTAAAGGCAAGCATGGCTTTGTAAGTCACCACCTAGTTCATTCTCGTGTCTTCTTTTGTGGATCTCATGCCCTTCTGCCCACGGTGCCCTTCTTTTGCCGGCCCTCTGCTTCCTGGAACAGACTTCCTTGGTGCAGACTTGCTGAGGGTGAACAGGTTGGCATTTTAGTTCCAGCTCTAGGTCTGGCTTTTCATCCAATGGTTCTGTAACAAAACCAGGGCACAGATGATGACTCATGAAGATAGGTCTCCTGCCGCCCAGCCTTCTCTAGTTTGCATAATGGCATACCGTTTAGAAACCCATAGACGTTCAACGAGAATCTCCAAGTTACAGTCAGCCGTCAGGTGCCTTAAATTTTTGACCATGTTCTCAGCATCATCTTCATCATTGCCCTCGCTGTCATCGTCATCATCATCATTTCATTCAACCCAGACCCGCTTCCTCAGCAGGTCCTTGCTTCTCCATGTTTCTGCCTGTATCTTGTGCTAACATTATTTTCTTAAGAACCATGGAAGGCCTCTAGAGACCAGCCACCCTAGATAGCTGCATGTTATGGTTCCAAGACCACAAAGGAATTCCTTTAAAAGTAAAGAGAAAGAGACTCTAATTGTAGCGTTTTCTCATCACGCTAGGGAGTCTGAGGCTTTCCTGTCACCCCTCAGTTGTCTTTAACATTCCTCACTTGCAAGTTTGGTTTTGGAGATCACTATTCGCTCATAGGTTGCTTTGATTTATTGAAGAGTCTTACGAACTTAAGTCTACTCTTCCGAAATGTTTTCTTTGGAGTTTACTGAGAAATAATGAAGATAAAGGGTCTTGGCAATGTCCCTTGAGTTAAAGGCCAGGCAAGTTTATAATACGAATCCTCTCCAACACACATTTCAGAATATATATGGTTTGTGCTTGGCATCTGCTTGTAAATTCTGCCTGGATTATGTTAATATTTTAATCTCTCTTAAATGACTGTTGCTATAATAAATGTTTATAGAAAAATATTCTTCCAAATTAAGGTTTAATTTAGAGGAGTAGCCAGGAAACTTTGAATAGCCCAAGAAATATTTTGATTAGATTAAAACAAATTACAAATTTTCTAACCAAGTAATTTTTTTCAATGAATTGTTACTGTTATGTGAATCCAAGAAAAGTAAATTGTATTCACGAATCAAAATACTTCTTAAAATACTTGTGTTTGACTATTTATGGAGCCCTAGGAGGGCTAAATATAATCTGCCATTATTCACTTCTTCCCTGGCAAAGCTGCACCTTTCTATGTCTGCCAGTCTACAGTGAGGCATAAATCTAAGAGCTTTAGTTTTCTTAACCACCAGAAAGCACAAAATGGTTGTTTGAACTATGTCCTTCCACTTCATAGATTTTGGTGCAGGTAGCCTAGACTACAATGCCATTGCAAGCACCCCTGAGATCTCAGTGGTGTGAACACAGTAAAAGTCATTTCCTGCCCATGTCCATTCTGATGTGGGCGGGGCAGATGAGTCCATTTTGTAGCCATGGAACTTGGACAAAGGGTAAAGGTGAGGTATGGGAGACACTGTGTGTTTTATCTACATTTTTGTCTTATATTTCATGAGCCCAGGTGCTATTATAAGGAATATTAGGCCGTAACAAATGTGGCTATTTGTTGAGGGGTGCCTGACGTGTGGCTATTTGTTGAGGGGTGCCTTATGTGACCACCTTGACTACCATTCCTGCCACATCTAGCCCTGGCATCTTAGGATTTTCCCAGAAGGCATTTCCTCCAGGTGAGAGACCACACCTCTACAGCCCTGTGGGGCTTCAATCTCCAGTGTTGCAGGACCCACATGGAGCTCCTGTCTCCTCAGGTCAGAGGCCATACCCCCTCTCTCCATTGGCATCCTAACCCTGCTATCTCAGGATTTGTGCAGGGTTCCTGCCAACTACTCAGGTCAGAGACCAGATCACTGTTGTCTCTTGTCCCCTAACCCTACTATCTTCAGGCCTAGCCCCTCCACCCAGGCACCCCTTCTCTGCTAATTCAAGCAAATGCCTGCTGATGAAGTCAGAAGTCACAGTGTAACTTAGCCTAGCTAGGATCACCTCAGTTACCTCACATTCAAATCAGGACCGAGTAACCCCAATTGAACTTAAAACCTCAACTAACTGATCTAGAACCAGCCAAACCCAGTAACAGCAGAGATTCAAACATCTGCTCAACGTAGGTGCATCTGAAACCCATGCCAAAGTGTACAGGTAGTGAAAGGTATGTAAGCCAATATAAAAACCCAAGATTAGAATGGGGAGATTGCTCAATGGGCAGAGTGCTTGCTGCACAAACACTGCTGGGGGTTAGAGCCCTAGAACTGACATAAAATCTAGATGGGAGTGGTGGGCCCACTGTAATCCCAGCATGCGAGAGGCCAAGACAAGGCATTCTGGGAGCAAGTTGGCTAAAATGGTGAGCTCTGGGTTCAGCAAGGGCCTCTGCCTCAACAGTATACAAGTTGGAGCAATCTCCGACCTTCATATTCATACATAAACACGCATCTGCACACATATGAGCACACCTACACACACACACACAGAGTCCCAGATAGAAGCTGTTTAGACAAAACTCCAGAAAAATAATTGAAAAAAATATGTTCTAAGAATTCATAAAGGGCATGGATTAAACTCTTGTAGGAATTTAAAGAAAACTGTTATAAAGTACTGAATGAATTCCAAAAGCATACACACAAATACGTGCTGAATTTAGGAAGTCAGCTCAGGATATGAGATAAAATTCAAGGAAGAAATAGAATTTCTGGAAAAGAAAAACAAAATGAAATTAAGCAGGAAATGAAGGATTCTACAAGAGAAAGAGAGAGTTAGGGAAAGTCTTGCTAGGGTATCTGGAGGGCAGAGAAACAGCAGGCCTGAAGGACAGAATTGGATTATCCAAATAGAGAGAATGGATTCTTAGCCAGGGAGCACCCAGAAGTCTTCCAAACGACACAGACCATTGCCGTCACTCTTGGTTGCCAACCAGAATGAGACAGTAAAACCCTCGTGCTGAAGGCACCTTATAGATTTGTTTATAGAACATAGAAAAATGCTGCAAGTGAGCAGGAAGCTTCCTCCCTCTGACTCATGTTCCTAGTGCGAGAAGGTGCTGGAAAGTGTTGTGTAGAATCTTGGGGGAGAAAAATCATCAGTGATCTTACCCAGCTGTAGATTATGTGTGCAACAACACTTACCTGCCAAGAAACACGTGTCAGCTGGTATGAGGGTATTCTGGGATTACCAATCACTTTTTGGCTGATTTGAGATCTGCTCCATATGAAGGAATTCACAGTGGATGCTGTAAACCCGGCTAAAAGTTCGGGAGGTCACTGACTCTGGAGTGCACCTGACGCTGAAGCCTTAGTAAGTTGGACATGCAGTTAATCTGCCTTGTGGATATTTGCTTAAGTCCATAGACTCCTGCTACCCCCAGCTTCTTCTTGCAGCAGGTGACTGCCAAAACTGGCACTCAGCTCACCAAAGTGCTGAGGATAAGTGACTATCCTCAGCCCCAAACAGGGCACCTGTGTCCCCACCTTCAAGTCCCAGCAGCACTGCAGAAGAGAAGGTGGAGGGACTGGGAGAGTCAGAGACTGGGGAGCCGTGCTGGGAAACACTTCCTTCTGGAAATGACCTGGCGTTGCAAACACGAATAGACTCCCTGCACAAGACCCACAGGCACGCAGAAAAGGAAAACAGCAGTGTGGATGGGGCTAACCAGAAAGAGGGGTCAGGAGGAGCAGAGGAATGGGAGAAGGCAATGGGGTGTGAGTATAATCATGGTTCCTTGCATACAGGTGTACAATGGCCAAAAGTCAAACATGAATATAAAAGAGAAACCAATAAATATCAGGGCTTCTCCTGGTGACCAGAAAGACTTCCCCATATATTATGGAAATCAAAACCAAACGTTCCATCCTTTAGCTTCCATTAAGGATGTTACCTACTTTTGATAATGTTCTGACTAGTTTCTGGGGAAACAGACAAGACTCATATATGAGGCGGGTTCTTGCTTATATATGCATATGTACACAATACACATATACATGCATGCATATACACATACATATATGTACACACACATATATACATGCATACACACATACATACATAAAGCATACATGCACACATGCATATACATACATACATACAGGGGCAGCTTTCAGTAAATGAATATGTTTATTTAAAAAGTTCCCATAAAAAAAATAATTTTTCCATCTCAAATATCAGAAAACACTATAGGTAGTCAAACTTTATAAGAAAGAAATAAATAACTTGGCCTAATATTATAATAAATACAAAAATAAATTGAGTTTGACGAAGCTTCTCATGTTAAGTCTTATGGGAATCAAACAACATTTATAGATAAACACCTGGAAACCTTTGTCAATCACACATTTGTAAGCTAGATATTGTTACACATTGGGGAAATTCCCTCATACACATGTGTTTAAATGTGTTCAAAAACCATTTGTATATTGTTACTGACTGGACTGTGGTCTGTATTTTGCAACCAGTGACATGTTTACATATTTTGTGTGACTGTTAATACCCATCTGAACCAGAGAAGGCGTTGACTCTTTAGTTAGGAACCTTTGTGCACTTTGTGGTCATTTCCTAAGGAATAGTGTGTGTGTAATTAAAGAAAATGGTTTCTCTTCTTGTGAAAATAAGTAAGTAAATAAATAAATGGGCTCAATTAGCACCTTGTTACTTTGCAGAATTTACCAGATAACTCTTCCACTCAAATGGATGACAGCACAGTGTAACACAGCACACCTGATACATGGGATTCCATTCAAAGACATGAAGGAAGAATCATTTCTCTTCGACTGGTGACACTAACATGGCCTTTGTGGCATTAATATTGGGGTGCTGATGGCTCAGTATTGAGAGGGTTGTGCTGGGGCTTGGCTTCCAAAAACTCAAGTAGAATCACTTGGCTTTAGAAATTATGAAGATGACATCTTTTTGCTTTCTAAGGAGAGAAACTGTCATCTCAGTAGCCAGCACAGCAGTAGTTGGGCAACTGCCTAAACATCGAGAAGTTCTTGACTGGTGAAATTCTTGACCAGCAGTAATGGTGCCTCATCCAAAGCACAGCCCGTCCTATGGAAGAGTCACAGCGTGAACAATGAAGAAATATCACTAATAACGTGCAAAAAAGAAGTAAAGCTAGTTAGTTTTGGAAAAATCATGGGATATTGTATTCTAAAAAATTCATTGTTAACTTATTTTCTCTTTGAGTAAATAATCTGAGAAACTCACCAAATTAGTAGTTGACCAATGACCCAGCAGGCTGAATTTAGAATTTAAAATGCTAAAGAAAGTTCAAAATGAGAACTTGTAGATTTTGCTCAGTGTAAGTATTTCTCTATCAGTATAAAATGTACAAACTTCTAAGTGCTTTCTTGTCTTTTCTCTCCAGAGGGGGAAATGAGATTGCCTACCTTGACTATGCTTATACTTAGTCATTGAGATGATTTACCCCCAAGCTGTATCCTTTCCAACGAGGTGATCATGTGAGAAATGATCCTATTTTCCCCAAATGGTTTCCTCATCCTTTCCAACCATTTGTCATCTCCTCCTCTAGTAGAAACAGAGGGAAGAAAGCAAGGTCCCAAGAGAGCCTCTCTTGATTCTTACACTGTGGGAAATAGTTTTGCCTATTTCTGATGTGCCTGCTTTCATCATTCTCTCTGGCTTCTATTACAGTTAGGTCAGATGAAGATATTTGGTACTCAAGTTTGCAATTTCACGATCCCTCTCAAAACATACCTACCTTTTCACTTTTCATAGATTTGCTGTAATACCTATGTCATCTCTCAACCTCTTTCCTTTTGAAAGAAAATTATGTGCTTGAGTGTTTTACCTGCGTGTATATAGGAGTACCATGCATGTACCTGGTGCCCTTGGATGCAGAAGAAGCCATTTAATACCCTGAGACTGGAGTTAGAGCTGCCGTGAGAGTGCGGGGAATGAACATGGGTCCTCTGCAAGAGCGGCAAGTGCTCTTAGCCACTGATTTATTGGTCCAGCCCCACAATCCCTCTTGAAACCATTTCCCCCAACTATGTTTCCAACAAATATTTTTAGGATTTTTCTTTTAAAAATGATTTATTTTAGTTTTTCCTCTTTAAAAAAAGTTTATTGATTTTTATTGAGCTCTACATTTTTTTTTCTGCTCCTCTCTCTACCTCTCCCCTCCTCTTCAACCCTCTTCCAAGATCTCATGCTCCCAATTTACTCAGAAGATCTTGTCCTTTTCTACTTCCTATGTAGATTATATCTATGTATGTCTCTCTTAAGGTCCTCATTGTTGTCTAGGTTCTCTGGGATTGGAATTTGTAGGCTGGTTTTCTTTGGGCTTTATGTTTAAAAACCACTTATGACTGAGTGCATGTGATATCGAATTTTATTTTGCAGACAACGTGGGAGCACATAGGGATGAGTGTAGTGTTTCCCACAAAGGAAGCTGGTAGTCCCTTTGGAAAGTGTGAGAGAGAAGTGGGAATATTCATGCTTTAAAAAGCCAGTGGAACTAAGAAAGGGGAACCAGCATTTTTATCAGTTAAAAAATAGTTTGGCTTTGTTCCCAATGTTTTGCTGTGATGGGACCCTTGGAACCCTGGGACCGCACCCTTAGGAAGCTGTGCTGGGGTCGGCCTCCAGGAGCTCATACAGAACCTGGTCCTATGGTCCCTGGCAGAAAGGCCCCCTCAACAAGAGGCCAAATATGGGCACATCTTCTTGCTGAGCATAGTGAGCCAAAACGTCCAAGGTTAAATTTACATCCTTATCAACCTTTGTTTATGACGACGAAAATGATAAAATAAACTGCTTTTTTTATTGTTATTGACAAGGAACTATGCATCATGCTGTTTTTGCCCAAATCACATTTTTTTTTTGAATAGTGGCCCTATTTGAAGTTTGGGAAATTGAGTCTTAGGTGAAGAAATCGGAGCGAATTTTGAGGGTTCTATTAGCCTGTTATTGTGCAGATTTTGCTGGTGAGAGACCCACTCAATTCAAAGTTATGTGAAACTCAGAAATGAAAATTATTATTCAAGGAAAAGATGATCACAAAAATCTGATAGCTTTTAAAAAGCCCTGGGTTCGGAATGTAGTTTTCTAAAGAACCCGAGCCAGTTGAAACTTGTTTTAATTACATTTTAATAAACAAAGAAGCTATCATGAGAGCTAACTACAATTTAGATACTTGGTCTAAGAACCAACCTGCACAAGGTTGTTGTCTCAGTGAAACCTAGGCTGCCAGGCTGCCATTTAGCACTGGCTCTCTGGGAAGGCCCAAGAATGACCAAATAAAGGTTTTTTTTTTTTTTTTTTTCTAATTAGGAAGTGGTAAGGAGAGGTTAGAGAAAGGTTTCATTTTGATTTTGAAATCTGGCTGCTCAGTCCATCAGGTTACTTGATTCCCAGCTGCAACTGCATCTATTGTTTGAACAGGAACAGCATTCCAGGAAGGGACGAAGCCCTTGCAAGAAATCTCTTCAGCATCACAAGGTGGCTTAGACAGACGATGGGACCCCTCTCTCCACTATGCTTTCGATCTTAAGTCTTAGGTGAAGATGCCCAGCTCAGTGTTGCTGTGTGGTGGTGGCACTTTAAGACATATGGCCTAGAGGGAGGATCAAGTCATTAGCGGTGTGCCCTTGAAGGGACTGGAGAAGAGAATCGCTTTCACACACTCCTACTGTCCTCGGCCATCACAGACTGAAAATATCGGCACCAACCGATTTTGGCCAGAAATCTCCAAACCTGTGAGCCAAAGAGCCAAACCACATTTTATTTATTTATTTGGTATCGAGTTTTCATACTGACCAAGATGGCACTGTATAGAACTCCTGGTGTAGCTGGTCTCTCCTTACCCAGGGTGGAACATTACCCTCTGCCTTTATTTTTCCAAACTGCTTTTTTGGCTTCTGGTTTAAAAATGTACTTGTTGCTTCTAAGACAGTAAACTTGTAAGATGCCAATCTTACTTCTGACTCTGACCTGGGCCCAGGTGTTTCTGCCACATCCTCCCTTTTTATCCTTCTCTTGTCTCTTTTCCTTTTTCCTTCCTTCCTTTCCCCAGCGTTCACTCTGTTTCCCTATGTCTTTCTACTCATTACTTCTGAAAACGAAGCACATTTTTCTGTCATGTAGATGTACATGAATCTGATAGTTACGTCTTGTGAAGTGTCCATAAAAATCAATTCTGTTTTCCCTTTCTATCTAGAAAGCTCTCACCCTGAGTGTGCATGTTCTGCTTCAAATAATGGAATGAGTCGATTTTTTTTGATTTGGAAGGAGCAGGCCCTTATTTACTTGGAACTAAAAATAAACCAAAACAAATCAAAATACCAAAAAGCTAGGACCGTTTTCTGGCTAATTAGAGCAATCTATGAGCTGCCTTTGAGTCAAATCAAGACACGAGTCCTAGGCACCTGGAAGGAATCTCAGCACACAGGGCAAGGAAAGCTCAGGTTTCTTTGGGGTGTGCTATACAGGACCCCAAATCCTTACTATGAATATAGAAAATTGACTAACTTTAGTCATGAAACCAAAATTGTGGCATCTTAACTCATGTGGCAGTTTACAGTAAGCAAGAAGAGAAATGTGGAGTTTATCATTTTATAGTTGTAAACAGTCATTTTAATAAACTCTAAGAATAAAAATAGGTACTTTAAAAATATTTTTTGTTTTCTTTCTTCATTTTACTTATTTATTTTTAAAACAGTCTTTTCCCCATTTCACATACCAATCCCAGTTCCCACCCCTTCCCCTCCTCCCATTCCCTCCAGTTTCTCTCCCACCTTACTCCCACATCCACTTCTCAGAGAAGGTAAGGCTTCCCACTGGGAGTCAACAGAGTCTGGTGCATCACTTTGAGGCATGACCTAGTCCCTAGATCCTGTATCTAGGCTTAGCAAGGTATCCCTCCATAGAGAATGGGCTCCAAAAAGTCAGCTCATGCATTAGGTCTCACTGCCAGTGACCCCACAGACTGCCCAAGCCACACAACTGTCCCCCACATTCAGAGGGCCTGGTTTGGTAGTATTCAGGTTCCCCCACTGTCATTCTGGAGTCAGTGAGTTCCCACTAGCTCAGGGTTTCTGTGGGTGTCCCCATCATGGTCTTGACCCCTTGCTCATGTTAAGGGAAAAACATCCCTTGGCTCTCGTGGGCTCTGTTCTTGTTGGTCAGTGTAGACAGTCCTGCTTTAAAATGCTTGATGGGTTTCCATCTTCTCTTGTTGCAGTTTATTTTCTCCCAGCACACATCCTGCATGTGCAACAGCATGCTGTCAAGAAGGGAAGGACAGCGCACTGCACACCTGCAGTCGGGTGGTGGCGTGATGCTAGGGGCTCCTGGAGCGAGTTTGCAGAGAGTCTAAAGAGACTTGCTTCCTTTCCAGGGACGGTCGTCTGTGAGGCACCTAACAACAAGTTAGACAAGTTCTCTGGAGTCCTTTCTTGGAAGGACAGCAAGCACACTCTCAGCAACCAGAAGATAATCCTGAGAGGCTGCGTCCTGAGGAACACCAGCTGGTGCTTTGGAATGGTGCTTTTTGCAGGTACAGTGAATAAACCAGGGCCATCTCTGCGCCATCCCTTCCTGGAGTCACTTCAGTGTAGTGCATAGTTCTCTATGGATGTGGATGTTCACAGAGATCTTTTTATTTTTTTTTTAACTTCTTTTTTATTGGTTTTATTGAGCTCTTCATTTTTCTCTGCTCCCCTCCCTGCCTCTCCTCTCCCCTTCAACTCTTTCCCATGGTCCCCATGCTCCCAATTTACTCAAGAGATCTTGTCTTTTTCTACTTCCCATGTAGATTAGACCCATGTATGTCTCTCTTAGGGTTCTCATTGTTGTCTAGGTTCTCACAGAGTTCTTATTGAGTGCCAAGTGCTGATTCTGAGTTCACCCCAGAGTGTGGTACCCTAGAAGAGACAGCAGTGCTCTGAGTATAGTTCATGTGGTTCCAGCGTGTAGGAACCACTGATAACTTGAATTCATTCTTAAAGATGCTGAAGCCTTCAGTATGTGGTGGTATCTACACTCCTACTGCTCAGTTTCTTTCTCTTTAGCCCCATCATATGCGTCTTCTGTTAGTCTATGCAATAACTTGCCCTTAAAACCAAAGAGTGATAGGAAAGAAGGCACTTCCTCACTCTGCCGCTCACATTGGTTGTCATTGGAGAAGGTCAGGAGGCTCTTTTGAGAAAACATTCTTTTTTTTATTTATTTATTAAAGATTTCTGACTCTTCCCTGCCACCACCTCCCATTTCCCTCCCCCTCCCCCAATCAAGTCCCCCTCCGTCATTAGCCCAAAGAGCAATCAAGTTTCCCTGCCCTGTGGGAAGTCCAAGGACCACCCACTTCCATCCAGGTCTAGTAAGGTGAGCATCCAAACTGCCTAGGCTCCCACAAAGCCAGTTCATGCAGTAGGATCAAAAACCCATTGCCATTGTTCTTGAGTTCTCAGTAGTCCTCATTGTCCACTATGTTCAGTGAGTCCGGTTTTATCCCAGGCTTTTTCAGATCCAGGCCAGCTGGCCTTGGTGAGTTCCCGATAGAACATCCCCATTGTCTCAGTGTGTGGGTGCACCCCTCGCGGTCCTGAGTTCCTTGCTCGTGTTCTCTCTCCTTCTGCTCCTGATTTGGACCTGAGATTTCTGTGGGTGCTCCTATGTGGGTCTCTGTCTCCTTTCATCGCCTGATGAAGGTTAATATTCAGGAGGATGCCTATATGTTTTTCTTTGGGTTCTCCTTATTTAGCTTCTCTAGGATCACTAATTATAGTGAGAAAACATTCTTGTCACCAGGGCAGATGGGTCTGAAGGCTGTGCTTGATGGGACTAGGATGGATGGATGGTAAAAGGTGCCATTGTCTTCTTCCTTTTTGTTTGTTCCTCTCATGCAATAAATCTGTACCTTAGTCTCCCCTCCTACTCCTTGCAGCTCCCCCTCCTCCAAATCCACTGCTCTTCCATTTCCCTTCAGAAAAGAGCAGGCCTCCTAGGAACATCACATGGCCTAAGATGCAATAAGACTAAGCACAAACCCTCACATCAAGGGTAGACCAGGCAACCCAGTAGGAGTAAAAGGGCCCTAAGAGCAGGTTAAAGAGTTAGAGACAACCCCAATCCCACGGTCAGAAGTCCCATAAGCACCGCAAGCTAAACAAACACAGCGTGTGTGTAGAGGAAACAATGCAGACCCGTGCAGGCTCTGCAATTGATGCTTCACTCCTTTGAGCCCCCATGAGCCTAACTCTGTGGGCTGTGTTCTCCCAGTGCCCTTGTTCCTTCTGGCTCCTACAATCCTTCCTCTCTCTCTCTTCTGTAAGGTTCTCTGATCTCAACCTAAAGTTTGTTTAGGTTTCTGCATCTGCTCCTATCAGCTGTCAGAGGAAGCCTCTCTGGTGACGCCTGGGCTAGGCACCGACCCATGAGTAGAGCAGAATATCATTAGGAATCATTTCATTGATTTTTCTCCCCACCAGCTGTGTTTAGTTCTGCCCTAGGTCTCTGGACCATCTAACTTCTGGTTCTGGGACATAAGGCAGTGTTCAGCATGGGCTCCCTCGCTTAACATGGTCCTCAAGTTAGACCCTCCCACAAGTTCTGAGCCACCCCAGCACATTTTGCAGGAAAGACAGGTAGGTTGTGGGTCATAGGTTTTGGGCCTGGATTGATGTCTCACTTCCACCACTGGGAGCCTAGCCAGGTTACAGAAGATGGCTGGTTCAGGCTCTGTATCCTCTATTACTAAGGGTCCTCATTAGGGTCACCCTCAGTTCCAGGAAGTTTTCACTGCTCTAGGTTTTCACATCACCCTTAAGTGCCCACCTCTTCCCCATACTCTCTTCTCCCATACCCTCCCTCCAGATCGAATTCCTCCTCTTCCCATCCCCAACCACCCTCATTCCATCCACAAAATCTATTCTATTTCCACATTCTAAGGAGATCTATGTGTCCCACCAGAACCCTTCTTGTTACTTAGCCTCTCTGGGTCTGTGGGTTTTTAGCATGATTATCCTTTATTTAACAGCGAAATATCCACTTACAAGCGAGTACATGTCATATTTCTCTTTCTGGGTTTGGGGCATCTCACTCAGGCTGATTTTCTTCTAGTTAGTGCCTTGCCAGAAAGTTTCATGTCATTTTTTAAACAGCTGAGTAATGCGCCCTTGTGTAAATGTCACATCCTCTTTAGCCACTCTTCAGTTGAGGGACACTAGGCTGTTTCCAGTTTTTGGCTATTATAAATAAAGTCTCCGAGAACATAGCAGAGCAAGTGTCCTTGTGGTAGGATGGGGGTCTTATGTTTATCCGCTGTTTTTGCCTTTTTTATGTCTGAGAGTCTGAGGTAGCATTCTCCTTCTCAGGAACAATAGCACAAGTCGGCAAAGCCACCCAAATTGGACTCATAGCTTCATTTTCTAGCCCTTGATTAAAAAAAAATCCTACTTATTGTGACACCAAATTAAGATGTGTTTTGTTTCTGCTGATTGTATGTGTAATTGAAATTGGATTATTTTTCTTAACTGAGTTTCCTTAGCAACAACAAATGCTTATTAAAGACTCAATGCATTCCAGAGCTAGAAAAAAATGCTTCTAAATCCCCTCAGCTGTGTGCGTGGGTGCTGCTTTTGCTCCCAGGGCAATGCCATGTGTAAAGACCCAGCAAATCTCTAGAAATGAAGTAGAATCAAGCTTTTGTCTGAGGCTGAATGTAGTTTCATCAGATTTTTTTCTTATTAATGAGGTTAAGTAAGCCTATGGTTATTTATGTCATATTTCCATCTTTCTTGCAGAGAAAAAAAGCCAACTTTACCCATATATTTCTTTTACTTTAAGCTTAAAAGCATGGAGATTTCAGAGCAGTCTCCCCATCTGAAGGTCTCCCGGTAAACATTCTCTTGATTTGATGTCTGTTATCACTGAAGTGGAGATGCCTCGTCCTAGAGATGGGCTGTCATTCAAAAGTTTGTTACATCTGTATGATCTTGTTCAAAATGACTAGTTCAAGGCTCTAGTTCAACTGAGTCATATTGCTTGTCCTAGGACAACTGTTGAGAGTCAGTCTTGAGAGCTGTTGAGGGGCCAAGGTTTTCATAAAAATGTCTCTGTAAGAAAACCCTCTTATATGAATGGAAGGAGTTGAGTTGAACAGAAGTCCACAGACTAGGGATCAGCCAGGTCAGGCAGCGAATCCTTTCTCTAAGACTTCCTGGGCTCCTCCCTGTGTGGATCACAGGATAATATTAGCACACTAGAATACCTTGCTGAGGTACAATGCATGTTGTGTATGGAAAGGATACTTGTTGATATCTTTTCCATGCCTGCTTCTCAATTCTTTTACCAACAATTCAGAACACACTAATATCTCTATGGGCAGGGCTGGGAAAATGGAACTACTCTCTGTATTTTGGTGGAGGAGAAAAGGAGCTCTCTGTTCTTTTGTGATGACTCCCAAATGTTCACTTTTAGATGGCGTTTGTCAGGTAGATGTTTGTAAAGCAGGCAATGTTTGCATTGACTTTAGTTAAGAGAGACCTTAATCAGAATACTGGCAAGCAGAGAAAGTCAGGATTGTTCTTGTCCACATCAGATAGGTACCCCAAGTCCCTAAGTCTTGACTTAGGAAACAAGTCGCAGGCGGTACTTAGATCTTGTGAAAATAGAATCCAAAATGAACTATCAACTCTTCTTTTTATATTTAAATCCCACATATACATCCTGTTTAGGAGGTGCAAAGATGGGCTTCAGAGGGATGGTTTACTTTACAAACTTATCATTCATAAGGTTAATACACATGGACATCTGGTCGTGCTTCCCTGCTGGTGGCTGTCCTCAGGAGGGGAGCAAAGCTTGTTTCTGAGAGAAGGGGCCATACTCACTTAAGGAGTCTGCAGGCCCAGTGCCATCCTGGTGTATATAAAGTCCCTGCTGTGCTCGCCGCCACTCATCTTCCCGTAGGGGTCTTATCTCTTCATTTTCCAACCTTCTCTTGCCTTACAGGCTCGTCTCTGTGGTTGGTATTCACAGATTCCCTTAATTTTTTTTTGTATTGGTGAGTCTTGGAAAAAATCAAAAGGAGGAAAATGCTTAAACTCTAGGTATTTATTCACCAAATCTACATCCCTATGTAGTTAGTTCAGATTGGTTGGATCCTTTAACATAAGATTACTCTTGTTAAGGCTGAAAACCTAGAGCTCCTACCTTTAGGATTCAATAAATAATACACCTTCCCCTTAGGGCCAATAATAATACACCATCGCTTTGTCTTAGGTGAAGAAACAGTTTGATTGTTACTAAGCTCTCTTGCCATATTAGTCAACATACCCCTACCCATACTTTATGGAATTTCTACATAAACTTTTCTATAATTATTCTTATTTGGTGATTCCTGTTAGGATCCTGAATGAGGTACAGTATTAAATATACATTGATTTATTGTCTCATGTAGTTTACAAATAATAATTTAGAGCAAGAGCTTTCAAGTTAGATATGTCAAGATTCAAGTTCTGTCTCTGAGCTTATAGGATAAGAAGTCTCAGGAAAGTTAAATTCTTGACTTGCAAGAACTTATTTGTCACCTTATAAGCATTAGGGGACTCTGCCTTCTCCAGGGATGAACCCCTGACAGGTTATTCAATCCCTACTGCTCTGTCTTAAACACATGTACATAGGAGCAACTCTAGTGGACTCAACAAATTATATATATAACACGTATGTGATATATATATATAAAACACGTATGTGATATATATATATATGTGTGTGTGTGTGTGTAAATAAGGATGAAGAGGCAATGAATGTGAGAGAAAGTAGCAAGAGACTTAGGAAGAGTTGTGGGGGAGGAGAAGTAGAAATGATGTAAATACAATATGCTTACAGGAAATTATCAAAATAAAATAAAAGTACATTTGCACATTACCTAAAATATAAGAAATATTAAATTTATGGGAAATTTAATTATTTAATGAATGCCAAGTACATGCTAGACACTCTATATTGCCTAAGGTAATGATTGATTGACTAGGGGTTAAATGTAGGAAAAAACCAAATGTATTCCCTTTACTCATATGGTTGCCAGTCCTGTAGGATAGAAATGATATGACATTGTCAATATGCTACTCCCACATAATTATGATGGTGATTATATCATCTCAAACAGAGATGAGTGCTGATTAGAAGAACATGCATCACAGTAGTAGAATTATAAAGGAAGAATGTGATTAGATCTTGACTTTAGGTAAAACTTTCCTGAGCTGAGATTTATAGACAAACAAAAATGAAGGGTCAGGAAAGTGGAAGAAAGTAGGGAATATAAGGAAGGCAAAGAGCTAACTGCCTTAAAGGCAAGCCGTGGGTCAAGGTGCTGTGGTGTGAGTGAGGTCAGAAACCTTCAGTGTTCTGACAGGGAGCAGAAAACACAGGAGATGCTCATGGGGATGTGACTGGAGGTGGGGGAACAGCTGGGCTGTGCAGACCTTGTGGTTTATGTGTAAAAGTTTGGTCCTTATCCCAAGAGTGTTTAAGAAGCAGAATATATTAAATATTTTAAATAAGTATATGGGAAGGATGGAATCTTGCCTATAGTATGGATAGTGTTTGTAAATGGACAGTAGGTCCTGAAATGAGTGCACAATTGGGGTTTGAGATGCAGGGAAATAATGGTCAGCATTCAGGGCATTCATGGAGCCCAGTAACAAGACTTTTGCAGTTAGGAGATGATGATATTTAGACCAAGATAGGGACTATGGGACTAGAGAAGAGGAATGTCAGAAACTTCTTAGAAAGTTGAATTAAGAAGCTTTATTGACCAGATTGAGGATGAGTCATGTTATCAACTATGATTCTGTATTTTATTGTTGCTATTGTTTTATTCTATGTTTAAGGAATCATTTCAATTTTCCTCTATTTGTTAAGATTAGCTTTGGGTTCTGATGATTATTTTAGAGATTAGTCCATGGGTTCTGCACTGTTGAGATGGAGTATTCTGCAGATATCTGTTAAGTCCATTTGATCTATGATGCCATTTAACTCAGGTGTTCCTCTGTTTATTTTTGGTTGTTAGCCTAACTTTTAATGACTGAGCCATCTCTTCAGTCTTATTTATATTTTGTCAGGATGGCCTGTCAGTTGGTAAGAGTGGAAAATTAAGCTCACCCTCTACTATTTGGTTGAACTTAATCTGCGACTCTATATCTAGTGCTTTTTGTTTAACAAAATTGGGTGTTCTGTGTTCAGGACATGTATGTCAAAATCATAGTATCCTCTTTATGGGTTTTCTCCTTAATCAATATGAAATTACTTTATCTTTTCTCACTAGTTTGGATTTGAAGTTTATTTTGTTAGACATTGGAACAGTAACACCTGGTTGTTTTATGGATTTCTGTTGGCTGGAATATATTTCCCATCTTTTAGCCCTAAAGTAGTTTATGCCTTTTGTGATAGGCTTCTTTCTGAAAGGTAGAAAATAGAAGATTCCTGCTTTTTGAGCCAGTCTACTAGTCTGTGCCCTTTGATTGGGGGGATTTATAACACTCAGAGTTTTTATTGAAAGGTATGTATTGATACCTGCCATTAGATTGTTTTTGTTTCAAAATTGTTACTTTTTTTTTTTTAACAGGTCCTGACACTAAACTAATGCAGAACAGTGGCAAGACAAAGTTGAAAAGGACAAGCATTGACAGATTGATGAATACCCTGGTCCTGTGGGTAAGTTTCTCACAGGTTGATGGGCAACCCTTGTGCTGTGGATTAAGAGGTTGAGGCACATTTTAGTACTCTGGGTGAGTAATTTGCCAGTTGAGCAGTACTCTAGTACTCTGGGTGATTCACTGACAAGTTGAGTAGAGTCTAGTACTCTGAGAATCTCACTGGCAGGTTGAGTAGTACTCTAGTACTCTGAGAGACTCACTGGCAGGTTGAGTAGTACTCTAGTACTCTGAGAGACTCACTGGCAGGGTGAGTCGTACTCTGGTACTCTGAGAGACTCACTGACAGGCTGAGTAGTACTCTAGTACTCTGAGGGACTCACTAGCAGGTTGACTAGTACTCTAGTACTCTGAGAGACTCACTGGCAGGTTGACTAGTACTCTAGTACTCTGAGAGACTCACTGGCAGGTTGACTAGTACTCTAGTGCTCTGAGAGACTCACTGGCAGGCTGAATAGAGTCTAGTACTCTGGGAGAGTCCCTGGGAGGGTGATGAGTGCTCTGGTTCTATGGGAGAGTCCCTGGGAGGGTGATGAATGCTCTTGTGGCATGGGTGTGTCACTGTGATCGAATTGGGCAATGCCACAAGTCATTGCTATCTTAATATATTTAATTTGCTTTTCTGAGAATTCATTCAGAAGTCTAAACTCTTTTTGAAACTTGCATTTGTCAATTTTATATTTAAGGCTTAGTTTACTCACTTTTATTTCCTAGATCAAAATAAATTTTCAGCCAGTGGTAGAAGTTAGTGTGAGAGGTAGCCTAGTTTTTATAAAAGGCCTTTGTCTTCAAGGATTTGTGTTTGGAAAGCTAACTCACTTTTGAGATAAGTAAAATCTTATCTTTGCTCAAATCCTCTCTACATAGTGTGGATAATGGTATCTATCTATCTATCTATCTATCTATCTATCTATCTATCTATCTATCTATCATCTGTCATTTTTCTACTATATCTATCTGTCTATCTATCTATCTATCCATCATATCATTATTATCATCATCATCACTTATCATCTATTATAGGGTAAAGTCACTCTCTCAGAGGCTGGTATTGTCCTCCATTTCCGTGGTTGTAAATAGGATGATTTTCTCGGGACTTAAAAGCCAAATTTTTTCTTAAGTTGGGCATTTATGCCAAACATCATTAATTTCAATTGTTTAAAGTATTTCCATTCAATTAATTTATAATATCAACTGTTAAAAGGAGAAGATACCAAAACAAAGGAGAAGCTACAGTGATGTAGATACCAAATTGGTAGGGTATCGGGACACACAATTTTTTCTCTCATATCTAGTTTTTCTAATATATCTTCAGTAAGGGTTTCTTCAACTTTGTCTTCATATTCTATTTTATTCATGAGAATGAAGAAGAAAACAGCTAAAGACCTCAGGAAAAGTCTTTCTTGGAGAAAAATTTGACACATTCCTACTTTGTACATCCACTTCTGCCTCAAGAGTGACTAGTGTGAGCCTCTGACATAGAGGAACCCTTAGCAGAACAAATCTCCCCAGACTCATTTTTAGGACACCACATTTGTGTTCTTAATCTGTGAGACTGAGGGTTTAGACTCACTGATGACTTCCTTGTCTCTGATTGATGTACTTCTAAGATGTTTGCTTTTCTAATTCTGATAGTAATAGTGATGTTAAAATCTGGTACACATTTTTGCCTTATCTCCCACTTATTTCAAAGATTTCAAACACAAAGTATCTACATCACAAGGTGTTTCAGCTCATCCTATTTTCTGCTGTCCCCGTGTAAGGATTTGTGGGCAGATCCACAGCGAAGAGCTCCAAGTGTGAGGTGGTGAGAGGGAGCACCAGTGGGGGTAGTAGTTGCTCATATTGTTGCTGTTATCAAACACCTGACAAAAGTCATTTAAAAAAGGAATTCAGCTTGGTTCACAGCTCTGGGGATGCTGCCATTCATGGTGGTGAAGACGTGGCAGAAGGAGCAGGAGGCAGCTGGTCACGTGACACACACTGTTAGGGAGCAGAGAGAGACCGATGCTGGCACTCAGCTTGCTCTCTCATTTAAGCAGTCTGGGAACAACTGGTGGTGGGTTGTCGCTGCCCACATGTAGGTGGGTCGTCCCTCTTCAATTAATCTAGTCTAGATCATCTAGAGTTAGCTACAGGCTTGCTTCCATATTGATCCTAAAGTCTATCAATCACACTATCAATTGAGGTGAATCATTACAGTACATTATAGCTGGACAGCAGATGTGCCTGGGACCTCTAGGGCACCTCCAGGGACTTCAAGCATTGGACCTAAAGCATTGAAATGTGATTTTTCTGAGTAAGGGTTTGTCGCTGCTTTTGTGATAGGGGTCAATCTGCAGCATAGTCTTTTCTGTGCTTATTCTTTTGTTTTTAATCTGTGAATAATCATATCTGCCTTAGTGAGAGTGGAGAAAATGCATGTCATATTTTAGCTATATGAAATTTATTCATATGCTTTATTTTAAGTAAGAAAAGGTTTATATAATTTGATTTTCAAATGATAGTTTCTTATGGGAAATTGATTTGTAGCTACATTGTGTTGATTTGACAAATTTAGGGTTCACGTTAACCTTCACTTCTATACTTCTATTCTTGTTTCAGATTTTTGGATTTCTGGTATGCCTGGGAATTATTCTTGCAATAGGAAATTCAATCTGGGAGAGTAAAATTGGAGACCAGTTCAGAAATTTCCTTTTTCGGAGCGAAGGCAAGAAGAGTTCCTTATTCTCAGGATTCTTAACTTTCTGGTCATATGTTATCATCCTCAACACACTTGTGCCCATTTCGTTATATGTGAGGTGAGCGTTTACACTGCAATGGAATCACTTCATCACTCCCCCTCTGTGTGATCTGAATGAGGTGACTTTGCTCTTTAATTCTGTTTAACCCGTACTTTTTCAAAAATCACAATGAATATATTTTATTTTCTCCTTCATTAGTAAGGTTTCTTAGAAATGCATTTCTTTGGACCATGTAAATTGTGCTACGCTCTTGCAATCTGATTGATAAAATTGAGTTGGTCTAAGGTAAGAAAAAGAAAACCTGGGATATTTTGAGATGTGGCCCCCCTGTCATTGGTCTCCTGCAGGTGCCAGGAGACGGGTGCTCCTGTCTATCACTCATTAGCCCTGTGACGATGGGAAAATTACCTTATTATTGGCAGCCATTATAAATACAGAAAGGACTCACAGTAAGGTGGTAGTCCTTGGCCATTGTTAGGTAAGTATAGTTCATCTTTCCCACTATCCTGATCTACAATTTCTAGATTTAGTCCCACAAAGCGTTATTAAAATTGTCTGTATCTGCCTTCATCTTTCTCGTGTGTGTGTTCTCTCTTTCTCTGTGTGAGTGTATGTTTGCTCCCTATGTATGTGGTTTCTTTCTCCAAACATATGCATGTTTTCCTCCCTGCTTCCACCTCCCCTTTCTCCATGCAGATGTGTGTGTGTGTGTGTGTGTGTGTGTGTGTGTGTGTGTGTGAATGAGTGTGTTCTATAAGACTTAGATAGGTCTACCCTGAGACTTTCTCCAATTCTTCCAAGACTGAGTCAGACAGTACCAGAGATCCTGGAGCCGAGCTAGGACTTGGTTGGTTGTCAGTTCTTGCCACCAGGACTTTAACAACATACAAAACCCCCAGCTCTGAATCGCCACTAATTATGACCAACCTCTTTTTTCTCTTTCCAAAAACTGAGCTTCAGTGAAACAAGGGAAGTTATGAATAAAATTCACTCTTGTTTTGGATAGAGGTCAGGAAGCTGAAATGTCAAGTGATGGGAAATTGACTTGAATCAGAGGCATGTGGCCACAGCACCACAAATCACTCCGGGCCTTCTGCAGCTGTGGGCAGCCTGAGCCCTGTGTGATCTGTATTCTGCTGGCTCATCTTTGATACCGAGACTCTCTCGTGCTTGAACCCCATTACAAAGCCGGTAGTAAAGGCTGCTCTTTGCCATAAAAGCTATATTAACTTTGTAGCTTTCCTCTCGTGTCCTAATAACCAATGTGACAGAGGTGTACCATCTGCACATGCACACAGTGCCTTACCATCTGCACATGCGTACAGTGCCTTACCATCTGCGTATGCGTAGTTTATGCCCTTGTGGAGGACACAGGCTCTTTGTATCGTCTTTTTTGTACTCTGGTAGTTTTCATTTAATGTTTTGAGAGGTAGTTTTGTTTTGTTTTGTTTGTTTTTTAAACACAGCTAGATTCACAGGTTAGCATCCCTTTTACTTTTAGGGATACTTTTAGTAAGTAGTTGTTAGCCAAAAACCAAACTTATAATATTTGCAGCCCAGGTTTTTGATGTTAGCATTGGTAATAATATCCCCGGCCTTCATGAAAGTCCTTGGCTTCTTTTTGTCTTGTATTTGTCAAATATGTGCTGCTCTATAAAATGAGGACAGTAAAAATAATTGATTCCTGAATTCCTTTGTATCCAAATCATAGCACTTACCTTTAGATACCGTTCTATGTGTATGTGTTTACATTTATTTGATGTTGGCCCAGCACTTTGCTTTCACAACCTTCTTCTGCATCGTGTTTTCCGATTTCAAAGCCATTCTCTGGTGCTCTGTAATGTAACAGGAATATGGGGCCTTGCCACATCCCATAGATGGCCTTGCTTCCTTTTTCAAAGTTTTGCATAAGGAGCGTCACCTACGTTATCTCGTCTATGTGCCCCCCGGAACTTCTCAAAAGGCTCTGTTGAAATGGGGAGTTTATTTAGTCAGGATTACATAAGTAATTGCATAGTCAGAATGAAGATCTGAAGGTCTAAATCCAAACAGCTGGCCCCTGCACCCTGTTTTCTCTGTCTCTAAACCGTGTGGGATTTGGGACTGGTGACGATGAAAAGCTGAGACTTCCCTCGTGCTGAATAACTGTGATCTCAACCCAATGGGAAGAGTGGTCCAAGAAATTTCAGGCTGTTTGGTCCTAAGTGCTTAAACACCGTGATGCAGGACCAGAGAACTGCCGGGTGTCTCCCTGATGAGGGCTGAAGGCATTCACAAAAACCTCTATGAGGCTTTTGGATAGGTACAATACATAAACCAGTGCCAGATGGCGAGAGTTCGTGATTCACTTTGAACAGTTAACAGTTCCAGGTGAGCAAAGACATTTATTTTGAAAAAGATACTTCCATGCTGTCAATGTGTTTATGCAGTAAGGAAAGCCCAGTCACAGGGTGTGTGTGTGTGTGTGTGTGTGTGTGTGTGTGTGTGTGTGTGTGAAGGAGAGGGCTTCATGTTGTACTGTCTCCCTCCTAGACCCTCTTTTCCCAAGCCAAACGGAGACCCACATTCTCGACAGGCGATTTTAAGGCCCCAGAATGTGAGGGATTTTTGCAGTTTTCCATTGGCTTGTATTGCAGCATGGGAGAAACTCGGAGATGACCTTGTCTCATACCACCCTTAGCTGGAAGTGTAGATGCTCCCAGTGTACTTGAAGAACTGGATGTACAGCGTTCAGTACGCAAGGAGGATGTGCGCATCACCCAGCCTTCTTCAAGTGCAGATGAGAAAAAAAAGATAAGAAATAAACTATAGGTGCTGCTATTATCAGTACAGTTTTATGTTCCTCTGAAAGCTCCTGTTAATATATAAAGACATGAATTTAAATCCAGTGAGCAAAGACAGGAAGCTCAAACTAAAACAAACCTATCCAGGAAAAAAAATAATGCATGCAAGTGATTATGAACCTGGGCATCCAAAATAATTCCCACCACTGCCGGAATTCATCTAAGCTTCTAATAGTGTGAGTGATGTGTGTGTGTGTGTGTGTGTGTGTGTGTGTGTGTGTGTGTGAGAGAGAGAGAGAGAGAGAGAGAGAGAGAGAGAGAGAGAGAGAGAGAGAGACTTTCAATCTTTCATTTAGGTCAGCAAAAATTTAAAAACTTCTCTTATCAGTAAAATTACATAATGTCCAGGAACAAATCTGTTCAGGTGTGGTGTGGAACTATATAAAAACAAAGGAAAACTGAATAAAATCACTATGTTATCAATAGAAGTGCTTTTCAAAATAAAATTCCTAGGAAAATGTATCTTATGTAGTTTTATGAAAGCAGTGAACAACTTAGCACAAACCTTAGAGAAGCCCTCCATAAAGTCTCCTAAAGAGCCGTGCCTCATTTTGTCACAATCTGGCATTAGAGATGACAACTTTGGACTAAGACCGTTGTCCGCAAACTTTGCCTTTCTGGAGCTTGAATATATAAGTTATTACTGGAATGCAAGAAAGGAAGTGGGAAACCCTGTTTTTAGTCAAGATTCATCACGTTTTGCTTGCTACTTAGTAGAGATTTACTGCTGGCTTATTTGCAAAACAAAACCCGATCAATATCTTAGAATGCATTTCTTTCAGCTAGATGTATGCCAAATATCTTCAGTAAGGGTTTGTTCACTCTGAGACGCAGATGGAGTTTCAAACTAACATGTCATACAAAGCTCTCCACTGGGCTTGATTCAACATCGAGAACCACAGGTCATTGCTTGAGGTTTCCTGATGAGGCAGCCATTTTGCCTTGTGAGGAAATCACTTGGACACTAAGGTTTATGAACAGATAACAGATCCTCAGCTGAGGCATTTCTGAAGGTCGCTAGGACCTAGGGACAGAGCATTTACATTTTTTGTTTTTGAAACCCTTGAGGAATTTGGCAAAGCATGGTGTTCAGATGTTGATGGAATCTTTCTTTCTTTCTTTCTTTCTTTCTTTCTTTCTTTCTTTCTTTCTTTCTTTCTTTCTTTCTTTCTTTCTTTTCCCTCCCTTCCTCCCTCCCTCCCTCCCTTCCTCCCTCCCTCCTTCTTTCTTTTCTTTCTTTCTCATCTTAACGGACCACAGCGTGGAAGTAATCCGCCTGGGACACAGTTATTTTATAAACTGGGACCGGAAGATGTATTACACTGCCAAGGCAATGCCTGCCGAGGCCCGGACAACCACACTCAATGAAGAACTGGGCCAGATTGAATATATTTTCTCCGACAAAACAGGAACTCTCACTCAAAACATCATGACTTTCAAAAAATGTTCCATCAATGGGAGAGTCTATGGTAAGGGAATAGTTTCTTCTTCTTAGCAATAACTTAATAAATAAATAAGCAACATCATTAAAAATAATATTCCATTACCCAAATCATCGTGGCTTTCTTATTAAACATTGCCATGATGCTTGGCGGGTAATGGATACCCATAACTAGTTATTGTACACGTTTGGAACAATTTGATGAAACTTAGGATCTGTTGCCCATTCATGGGTAGAGACGGTTCCTTTTGATACTCTTTCATGTGGCTTTTCTCTGTAATGCTCCAGAGGCCCAATTCCCTGGAAGGATGAGTTTTAGCTAGCATTATTTATCTTGTTAAGCCAATGTCTTTTGCTTCCTCTCATGGTTTTCTGTGGGACCAATGTCAATACATGTGTTTGTGATGAAATTTAATATTTATTTCCTGAAGTGCATACTTTCTAGGACTCCTTCACAGCCAAGTTCCCCTATCCATCCTTCTATGTGAATAAATAATCTGTATTTGGGTTTTCAAGCATTCTTTTTATACCTGGCCCTTCTGAACCGGGTATTAGCTAGTTAATAGACAGTTTCTTTCATAGAAAATATGGGAGTCTAATGGGGCCTTCCACAGTGTTCTTCTGAATCTCTTACCCTAATTCATGAAAGTCAAGATATTTTGGGAAGTCAAGGAGTTCCAAGAGAGACTATGTTTTCTTTGTCTCCTAATGGGAAGGAAACGTCACACATTGCCAATATTTTTTTTTAATTTATTTATTTATTAAAGATTTCTGTCTCTTCCCCTCCACTGCTTCCCATTTCCCTCCCCCTCCCCAAATCAAGTCCCCCTCCCTCATCAGCCCAAAGAGCAATCAGGGTTCCTTGCCCTGTGGGAAGTCCAAGGACCACCCACCTCCATCCAGGTCTAGTAAGGTGAGCATCCAAACTGCCTAGGCTCCCACAAAGCCAATACGTGCAGTAGGATCAAAAACCCTTTGCCATTGATCTTGCGTTCTTAGTAGTCCTCATTGTCCGCTATGATCAGCGAGTCCGGTTTTATCCCAGGCTTTTTCAGACCCAGGCTAGCTGGATGCCAATATTTTAAAGCAGGATTTGACCATAAAGGAAAACAAGGGGTGGAGAAACACTGTTCTGCCTTTTGACTTCCCCCTCTTTGAACCCTACCACCATCACCCCTGCAGTAATGGTCTCCTAAGCTCCTTTGTACTCCTTGCTGCATATCCTGCCTTCTTTGGGAGTGGACATGGCGACTCCAGCCTAAGCACTCTTGCATGCCTTATAGTCCCATCATTCCTAGTAAATAGCATAGAACCATTACTGAAAATATATGGGCATTATTTTCAGAGGCTTTCAAAGAATACTGCCTTGACCTAAATAGTAGTGTAAGTAAGAATATTTAAGAATATTAGAGGAGATCATAAAATTTAAGGATCTTTTTTCTTAATATTAGTATAAGTAGCATCTTTTCTGAGAAGCAGTTTGAAATTATTAGACATGTGGGCCAAAGGCCATTTGTAGAAATTTATTGCAGACTACTTTTAGAGACAACTTTTTGACATTTTCAAGTAGAGGTCTTAAGATCTTTGTAAATGTTCATATTTTAAAAAGCCTATGGAAGTTTGTAATTTCCCTTATAGTATACAGGAAAAGAAGGGAAAGGGTTAAATATTCTCTTTTGGCCCTGATTATAATTTATAATATATTTATACCCTTAAAACATGTTATTTTTTTGCACACCTCCTGACTGCTCAGAATCTTTTTTTTTTTTTAAATTTGGGCACAGCTTAATCTTGTTTTGAATCATAGATCTGGGCTTTGGGAAACTGTAGCTTTTTACTCTGACTTGTCATCTTAGTTTACTGTTGCTGTGATGAAATGCCATGACCAAAGCAATGTAGGGAGAAAAGGGCTTATTTGGCTTACATTCCCACATCACTGTTCATCATGGAAGGGAGTCAGCACAGGAACTCAAGCAGGGCAGGATCCTGGAGGCAGGAGCTGACACAGAGGCCATGGAGGAGTGCAGCTTCCTGGCTTGCTCCACGTGACTTGCTCAGTCTGTGTGACTATAGAACCTTGGACCACCAGCCCAGGGATGGTACTTCCCACAATGGGCTGGGTCTTGCCACATCAATCACTGACTTTCAAAATGCCCCACAGCTGATCTTATGGAGGCATTTTCTCAGTTGAGGCTCCCTCCTCTCTGATGACTCTAACATGTGTCAAGTTGACATAAAACTAGCCAGCACACTTATCCATATCTTGTGTTTGGACTCAGAACTACTACCTCCTTAGACTTTAATTTTTTTCTGTTTTATCACAAGTTCTGCAATGAGATCTCTTTGGGGGACCATTTAGTACAAAGACACAATTGTTTCTCTTCTTTTCAGCATTTCATTAGAATTAATGCCTGTGTGATTATGATAGGACCGTGACTAAGTGAACCCGAGATTTGTGTTTCAGGAGGTTGACTAGATTCATTACTAGCTCAAGGACTCTTCCTGCATGGCAGGTGAGCTACCTTCATAGCTTAGACCCGCACCCCAGAAAAAGCACAAGGAAACATCAAATATCATCGTCACAAAGTTATATGTGAAGAAAAAGACATGGTTATAAATTCCCACCATACTGACTTTTTATAATATAGTCATTCCACTTTTGACTTTGTTTTTCTACTTTCTTATCCATAAAACTTGCTTAAAGGCTTCCTGATGCCAGGTTGTTGAAGGTGATGACGTAAGTATCTGGTGCAGGTGGATGCAAATCCCTCTCTACTGTAAAAAAAAAAATGAGTCCTACTCAATCGTGTCAGCCCTTCAAATACCAGGGGAAGGTTAGAAAAACACCCAAAGTTCCACAACCTTCCCAGACTGTGCCACCAGCTGGGAACCAGGTGTTCAAACATGGGAGCCTAGGAGTGACATGTTATACTCAAACTATGGCATTCAGCTCTGCTCCCTAAGGCTCATGACCATCCTTTAGGCTCATGGACAGCTCATGGTACAACATGTGCTCCATTTGACTTCAAAAGTTCCTATAGTCTTCAACACTCCTAGAGCACTTCAAAAGCCCAAAGTCTCTTCTGAGACTCAAGGTAATCTCTTAACTGTGACCCCTGAAAAATAAAAGTAACTGTATACTTCCAACATACAGCAATGTAGAATAAGGGTTTTTTTTTTCCCTTTGAAAGCTCACATAATATCTTCATATACTATTAAGATTAGTTCTCAGGGAAGAGTCTTCCAGGTTAGTTCCAGCTTGATTTCTCCAAGTCCTGTGTCTGAAGTGTCTTTAGTGTAGGATTTTGCTTTTAAGTTCTGGGAGATAACCAAGGGCAATGCGGCAATGCCTATCTATATTGTTTTCTAAGGCTCTTGGACTCACCCTGACCACCAGATCAAAAGGAGATTTCCCAGGGCAGGGCACTGGGGTTTTTGTGAGTCTATGGCTCTTATGGGAAGCATTATTGTTCAGTGTTCCCCATTTTATTGTTTGCTCATTTGTTGTTAGTTCCTTAAGAATTTCGTCGATGTGTTTTGATCACATTCACCCTGTCCCAGCACTACTCCTGGATTCCTGCCACCTTCCCTACCCATCCAACCTGGTGTCTTTATTTTTTTTTTTTAACCCATCATCAAGCTTAACGTATGCTGCACATATATCTGCTCTTGGATGTGTGGCCTTTACTGAAGGATATTCTACCCGCTAGAGGCTGCACCCATGAAGAAAACTGACTTCCCCTCTGCCAGTAGCTATCAAATGACAACAGATTCTTAACTGGGAGTGTGACTTGGTGACCACATCCACTCTCCACACTGGCGTTTTGTATGACCTATGCATGATTCTGCAGGTCTTAGGCATGGTGTCTCAACTATGCTGAGTTCATGCCTGCCCTGTGGTGTCCAGAATAGTTTCCTTGGAGTCATCCACCTCTTATGGCTCTTAGAATCTCTCTGTCCCCTCCTCTGACATGACCCCTGAGCCTTGGTTGAATGGGATGTGATACAGATGCCCTCTCTAGGACCGAGAATTCCACAGCCTCTCAGCTGTGGGTCTCTGGCTTAATCACCATCTACTGTAAAACAAAGCTGCTCTGATGCGGGCTGAGCGATGCCTAAGATGGAGATACATGTCTCTTCATTTTCTTTTTAATGCCTACTTATTTTAGCTTTATCTTAAGCATAAGCATCTCACTAAATTAATTGCCATGTATAGGGCTAAAAATATTGGGCCAGTATTTGAAATTCTGTTCCAGCTAGTGGTAGTGCTTCAGGGAAGAGCACACCAATTTGTTATCCGATACAAATGGTCAACCCAGAAAACATACATATGAGTGACGTTATACAGACTGAGCAGGCTGTGTTTAGGGATATCTGTATATTTACATATATTTATTTACATATACAATAGAAATCAATGGAAAAAGAGACCATTAATTTAAAGAGAGAAAGAGGGGGTATATAAGAGTGTTTAGAGAGAGGAAAGGGAAGGGGTAAGTGATGTAATTATATTATAGTCTCCCCAAAGTGTAAAAAAAACCCAAACCCAAACAAAACAAAATACTAGGTTTATTTTCTAAAGTTAAGTATTTAAATTGGCTTCAATTTTACTTCCTATTTACTTTCAATGTTTGCTTTAGCAGGTGAAGTACTAGATGACCTGGGCCAGAAGAAAGAAATAACTAAGGTAGAGAAGACACATTTCATTCTCTGTTTTAATTTTAAACTGTATATGCTTTTAAGGTGTGACACGTTCCTAAGGGCCTGATTTGTATCACCCACCATGGGACACATAAAGTATAATACAAAAAGAAATAGATTCACATGGTTCAAAATTTCCTGTAATCTAGGTACCTTGATCAAACAGTTTCCAAACCTTTAGAGACATTTTTGCATATGCGAACAAATGTGCTTCACTGTTTATAAATGTGTGATGGTAGAATATGTACACTCTTCCTTAACCTTCAGCCTCAGAAACCTTAAGAGATCAATTTTAAGTGCTTATTATTTTATAGCCTGTTATATCTATGTCCTACTATATATATATATATATATATATATATATATATA